CTCCTTCCCGACACCTAAAAAGGCAAAACCCAAAATTCGTGGCGGAACTACCATCTCCCCGGCGCAGAAGAACCCCTCCCAACGGCGCATCTCTCACAATAGAGACGTTTTCCAGCGGCTTCCACCCAGAGTCTGACGAGCCCAGCTAAGCAACCATCGCAGAGAAATTGAAGAGTCTCGATGTCGGGGATGGCCAAGCGGTCTTGGGTGACCACTGGCCCAAGCCGAGTCTTCGCCGGAGAAGGCTAATCAGCGGCGATTTGTAGTCTTACCTAGGGTTGGTTTGTCAACATGCGATATTTAAGGGAGTAAATTGTTTGTTTCTATGGGATTATTAAGGAAGTTTTTTGCATCATTAATGTTAGATATTTTTTTGACAAAGAATTACTATAAATAGAGTGTATTTAATGCTAATGGCGGTAAAGAGTTTCTAAAAATGAATTATGTTAATCCTTATTATATATTAATAGATTAACGAATTGTTTGAAAAAAAAAATAAATCACCAGATAATTAAATGATTCCCAAAAATAAACTAGGTAATTCAAAATTAGATATATAAATTAACTCAATAATTTTTTCGATATTGCATGTTTTCCTGAATTTAACTATCAGAATTTGTGTCTAAATAATCAAATGTCATGAATTAGACAGTTTACAATAATAATCCTCCTTATATATAATTCCCGAATGCGCTGAGCCTACATGGCTGCTTCTGGTGCTTCAGAATCCTACTTGGCGAAGAATCATGCTTCGTAATTAGGTTCGGACAAATAAATTGATATATTAATAATTAATATCTAGGTTCAGACATTCCATAAATATTATTTAGCTAATTTAGGTATTATAATATCACTTGTACTAATATAACCCTTTAACTCTTTGTAATTTTACATAGTGAGACACTAAGTGACTAATATATCCCTGACTTTTGATTTGTTTCCTTCAATTAGCTATTGAATTATAATTGTATTTTAAAAGTTGATAACTTTTGTATTTCTTATCGGTTTTACATATATAATATATCAAATTAATTATCTTTTGATGATCTTCGATTTGACATCCATATTGTATATATGAAATAAATAAATTATATTTATCTTTATAATAATAAAAAATAATAATATTTATTAAAATATAATTAGAAAAATAAACTATTTCTCAATTGATATATTTATATGTAATGTAGTTATATATTGTAAGTTAAAAAAAAAAAATTAGTATATTATAACACAAGTAAGTTGCATAAATAAAAAGTGTCATAATAAATATATAATAATATATATATTCTTATAAAAGGTATTTAAATTTTCAAACTACCTTTTTCTCATTAATTTTAGATTTTAAGAAAAAAATTAGCAAGCACCCGTGTAATACACGGGTGTTGTACTAGTTATAAAATAGTTCATTGTATATCTTAAAATTTCATGCATATAAAAAACTTATCAGAATTTACTTAATATAAACATGCAATTCATTATTTTTGTATTATAATTTTTTTTTAAAAAAAATATTAGGGCGTGATTGTTTACATTTTCAACAGTAAATATCTCACTCAAACTCATATTTAACTCAACTTTGACTCAATTTCACTATTTCCAATATCATCAATATAATTAAATAATATCAACCAATCATTATTAAATATCACATCAACTTTAATTCACTATTCATTTACTCACATAATTTTAACTAATCATCACTTCCAATCATTTTTTCATACTTTTACATCAAATCAACTTCAATTATTTTAATTGAAATATTATTTTAATATATCTACTAACAACTAACCATACTATTTTTTTTCAAACAACTATAGTTTAAAAAAACTAGTTTTTTACTAGTTGAATTCATATCTAATCACCCCTTAATTATCAGATTAAGTAATTTATGAAGAAATATACTATTATTCATCGAATCGCTAGGAAATGCATATATGTTCTAGATTGATATTCCTATTCAAAGTATGTTATGTAACACTTTTGCTATGGAGCCATCGGATGACTCGTCTTATGGATCAATCCACACTTGTTCACCAATAATTATTGACATGTGTCCTACAATAAATACAATTTGGACATGTGTCAATACATTAAACGATGGATGACTCCATAAGAAAACAATCCGATTGTCCCATAGAATTTTTGTGTTATGTAAATCTAATTAAATAATTAGGGAACAAATGATAAGTTAATTAATATCTCATATGTTAATTTTGAATGACTGATAATTGTTGAATTATAATTGAAAAACTAACCGTGCAAGGCCCACACTTATGCTATCGTTTGTATATATATATATAT